GGGGGCTCGCGGGGCCTGCGGCCACCACGGCGCCCGCCTGCACGTTAACTTGCCCGGGGAGGAATATATAGAGCGGCGGGTGAGGGCTGGGACGCGCGTCCAGAAATAGTGTGGTTTCCAGCCGGCCTGTGAGATGCAAATCCTCTGGTCAGCGAGCGCCGGAGCTAAACTTAGGGCAATTACAGAAAAGCGTGGGCCCGTGGCGGCTGTGCAGGGGTGTGCGCTCACAGCCAGCGTTCCTGCACCCCGGGCTGGCCCTGGCACCCCTGCACCGGGGGACCCCCACCCGGCAGCGCCCACCGCCCCGTCCCCGCCGGGAGCTGAGTGTTCCCACCGCGCCTGTGCAGGCCCTGAACTTTGCTCCCTGAGGAGCCGCAGCTCAACCCTTCACCTCTGCTGCGGGCTGGGATTGTTTGCGGGGGGCAGGCCGCAAAGTTGGGGCCAGAAATGGGTGGTGGGGAGGCACGTGCCCAATGGTGACGGGGCTGTGACCCGCCTGTCCTCCCTCCAGTTGGTCCCTAAACCGTGTCCCGCTTTCCCTCCCACCCAGCAGAGCCTGGCAGCAATCGCTGCCCCACCAGGTCTGTTTTGTAAGGGCTCTCGGGCGGTTTTATTGCCTGGCTTCGGGGCGAGGCGGGTGCCTGCACCCCACGCATGCACCCTGTGCACCCTCCTGGCCCCCGCCAGTGGCCCAGGGTGACACTTCAAAGCCAGGCTGGGTCCCCTTTGCTGCCAGACACGGGGTTCCCAGGGCAGGAGGACCCCAAATCCTGCTTTGGAGACAGCCTGGCAGCACATCCCAGCTGTGTCTTGGGTAAATCCGGGATTATTTTCCTCCTGACGCATCCCAGCATTGTCTGTAAGGGCAGGCAGTGCAGAGGGATTTGGAAACCCCCTAAATTTCCCTGTTCTGTGGAAAACTTGTGTCTGACAAGGAGGCGAGGAGACAGCACGCAGGTCAGCCCCCTTTGCCCCGTGTGGGACCTGGGCTGGTCTCTCGGCATCGCTATCGGCAGCACTAGCTCCCTGGCGTGGGATCGTCCCTGCCCGGCCGGGCACAGCTGGGGTGTGGGGTGCCCCAACATGGTGTGTGCCAGGAGGTGATGGCTGCCAGCTCCTGTGCCGAAGCGGTGGGCGATCGCGGCCCTGCCAGCCGGCACCGTGACGGGGAGCAGAGCGGGGAGGGCAGGCGACCAGGAAACTTGCAGTGCAGGTCCCTGCGCAGGGAGCGTGTCGGACGAGATTGCGTCTGGGGAGGGAAGGAGTGGCCCAGAGTTTCAGTGAACGCCTTCCTCCTCGCCCGAAACACCCCGGCGCCCTGGCAGGGACGGGGGGGCTCATGGCTGTGGTGGGGAGAACAAGGGGGTAGTTGCACAACGCCCCCCCTGCCCCCCAGCTCCTGCTCTTGTGGCTCAGGGAGGGCTTTTGGAGGCCTCAAGCTGGGTCTCTCTTTCTGCCCCCTGGCCCTCAGAGGGTGACATCCGCTGTCCCCTGCCAGCCCAGGTGTCAAAGCAGCGTCCTTGCGTGCGATCCTCGGGCACAGCCGGCGCCCGTGGTTGCCTCTCCCTTCCCCTGTCATGGCTCATGCACGCCACTGCCCCGAACACGCCTGGCGATGGGTAATCCCAGAGCGAGCCCGGGGCTGAGTCAGGGAAGGCACGTTGGGTCTGATTCAGGAGAAAGGAGACGCTCAGCAGCCGCCTTCTGCTCGCGGCATCTGGCTGCACCCATCCAGCATCCCCGGGGAAAAGGGAGCAAACCACAATGGCATCCCACGGGGGCCGGGGACACCGGTGCCGGGGGGATGCTGGGCTCTTCGCCCCAGCCCACGAAGCTCCCGTCCTGCCTGTCAGCAGTGGCCTTGTGTGGGGCACATGCGGCCTGGCTGCCGGCGCTGCCTGATTAGCGATGCAGATGGTAACACTTGTTCCCCCTTTTTGTTTGAGCGTACAAAGGCTGGGAGGGAGCATGTGTGCCGGGGAGAGAAACCACCAAGGACAAAGAGCTCGCCAGCCACCTGCCTCCCAGCGCCTCCGCTCTAACCAGCACCTGCCTGGCGAGCGGCCCTGCTCCTGAGGGTCCCCCTCCTGCAGACCCGGGAAGAGGTCCTGGCACCCCCTCCCTGCCCTGGGGTGAGCACAGGGTGCTTCTGGGGGTGCAGCCCTTTCTGCATCCCCCTGGCCATGCCACGTCAGGGATGCCCAGGCAGCTGGGGTACCGGTGTTTCGTGTCACGGCAGGGGGACAGGGTCGGGTGCAGGTGGTTCCCTCCATGCCATTGTCTGTGTTGAGGCCCCGGCACCACCGCACAGGAGCCAGCGGAGAGCGGCCCCCCCGATGGCACCTGCTGCAGGTCACGGGAAGGAGCTGTGCCAGCCCCGGGCTGAGGGCAGCGGTTGACCCGTAGTTGGATTTCTGGGAGAGGAGAAAGGAGCTGACTTGTTCTCATGTGTTTTGGGGGCTTGCCCAGCCCAGGTCCTGACCGTGGGTCTAGGCAAAGCCCTGGGGGCTGCAGGGGAGGGCGGAAAGTCAGAGCCCTGGGGCTGAGTGGTATGGGCAGGGCCATGGCAGCTCTCTGGCCATGGGCAGAACTGGTGAACGCAGCCACTCGGCCACACCACGTGTCCAACCTTGTCCCTCCGACCGCCTCCCCTCACCTCCTTGGCTGTACTGTGGGCCCGGGGCCAGCGCCATGCTGTGGCTTGCAGAGCTCTGCCCGCACCTGCCCTGTGGCCAGGCCTCTCCTGGGCACATGAGCCCCTGCCACAACCCCGAGGGGCGGCAGGGGTCAGACTGTCCCCTGAACCCACGCGGCTCTGCCCAGGGCAGGCCGGGTTTCCCGTGTCCCACTGGGTGTGTTCAGGGGCAGCGAGGACCACGGAGGAGGAGGAGGAGGAGGAGGAGGGAGGTGGCCCAGGCAGTGGTGGTGATGCAGCACTGATGCTGTGCTGGAGCCAAGGTGCAGCTTGGCACGGCGTGACACGGCACGGGACCCAGGGTGCCTGCAGAGCCTGAACTGCCAGCACGGCCAGCATCACCCAGCCCCATGGTTGCCCAGACCTCATCCCCACACCCATCAGAGAGCTCTAAAGCAGATGCTTCGTACGTGGGGAGTTTTCCTGTTGTCCTTTGTGCCGAGGTTAAGTTCCTGCGCGGCTTCCTGCCCCGTTATATATAGCTGTCAGCCCGTCCTGCTCCGGTTTGGAGTTGTTTATCTGCAGTCCGAGCGCTCGATAAAAGTCGAGGGGGGCTGGTGGGTGCTGGTTGCCCTGGGCGCAGACGGTCCCGTAGCAGCCCTGCGCAGGGCGAGGCTGTGGGTGCTCCCAGGAGCTGGGTGCACGGATGGTTTTCTGGGGGTTGTAGGGAAGGGGCAGGGTTTCTGCCAGGCTGCAGTTTTGCCACTGGCTGGGTGCTCCCCTCCCCTGCGCGGGATGCCTGAATGAAAGAGTGACTGTTCTTGGAGGTCACCGGCAGCGTCATGAGTTTCTATGTCGCTCTGGCTAAAATTAGACACTTATCAGTGTTTGGGAGGGATGTGATTTTACAGGTTCCTGTTTATTAGAGCAGCCTTCACTCAGGGCCATGTTTCCGGCTCCCTCCCAAGTGGGGACACTGCCCGTGACTGTCCCCGTGGCTTTGTGGTGGCTGGGGCCAGGACGAGTGGCAGAGGGGCCTCTGTTTCTTTGACAAGGGGCTTTTGAACGGGCGGGTGGGACGCCTGTGGTGCCGCAGCTGGCAAGGATGGGTGGTTTTGCCCAGGGAGCGTCCGTGCCAGCAGTAACCAGTGCAGATGCAACCGGGATGGCTTCCTCCCTCCTCCCCTGCCCGCCTGTGCTGCTCCAAAACGGCTGTGGGAGATGCTGGGGGTCTTGCCCACAGTCAGCCCTGGTGCTGGCATGCGGATGCACAGGGGTGCCAAGCTTCTGGGCTCCTTTCGGGGGATCCCTGGGAGTGCGAGGCCACCCCTGTTGCATCCCTGGGGCTTGTGGGAACACTGGGACGTGTCCTGTGGCTGGCAGGGAGAGAGGGGCAGCGGGGTGGGTGTTTGCCATGCCGCTGTCTGATGGCACCCTTGTCTGTCTGTCCTTCTGCAGGCAGGTGGCCGTGCCGTGACCAGCACCCTGCCGTGGGGGGCAAGTGTGCCCCGAGCCCCCCTCCACCATGTTCAACCTGATGAAGAAGGACAAAGAGAAGGATGGGGCCCGAAAGGAGAAGAAGGAAAAGAAGGAGAAGAAGGAGCGGATGTCAGCAGCTGAGCTTAAGAGCCTGGAGGAGATGAGCATGCGCCGGGGCTTCTTCAACCTCAACCGTGCCTCCAAGCGGGACTCCAAGACCCGCCTGGAGATCTCCAACCCTATCCCCATCAAGGTGGCCAGTGGCTCCGACCTGCATCTCACGGACATTGACTCCGACAGCAACCGGGGCAGCGTCATCTTGGACTCAGGCCACCTGAGCACGGCCAGCTCCAGTGATGATCTCAAGGTGGACGATGGCAACTTCAAGGGCTCGGTGCTGCAGCGGGCGGCCAAGTTTGGCTCGTTGGCCAAGCAGAACTCGCAGATGATTGTCAAACGCTTCTCCTTCTCCCAGAAGAGCCGGGATGAGAGCACCTCGGAAACGTCCACCCCCTCTGAGCACTCGGCAGCCCCCTCTCCGCAGGTGGAGGTGCGCATGCTGGAGACCCAGCTCACTAAGCAAGGAGTTCCCCAGGGACAGCCCTGCACCCCTCCCGCCTCCTCCCTGCGTGCCAGGGTACCGGAGCTCGTCGGTAAGAGGTTCCCCGCCGAGCTGCGGCTGCCCACCTTGGTGCCCCCGCAGCCCCCCACCCCGCGGCAGCTGGAGCTGCAGAGGCGCAACACAGGTGATTTTGGGTTCTCCCTGCGCCGCACCACCATGCTGGACCGGGCGCCCGACGGGCAGGTGTACCGCCGCGTCGTGCACTTCGCCGAACCTGGAGCCGGCACCAAAGACTTGGCGTTGGGGCTAGTGCCGGGTGACCGCCTGGTGGAGATCAACGGGCGAAACGTGGAGAACAAATCCCGAGATGAGATCGTGGAGATGATCCGGCAGTCGGGGGAGACGGTGCAGCTGAAGGTGCAGCCCATCCTGGAGCTGAGCGAGCTGAGCCGCTGCTGGCTGCGGGGCAGCCAGGGGACGCGCCGCGCTGCCTGGGATGTGAGTAACGCCCTCCCTGCCGTGGGGCCAGTGCCCGGAGTTTCTGCTGGCCATCAGCGTCCTCGTGGCGGGTGTTTGGGTTGGCAGGGGCCATGACAACCGGTGGGTGGTGGGGCTGCGCCGCCTGGGAACGATGCACAGGGAGGAGCAGGAGGCTGTGGCTGGGATGCAGGGGTGATGCCTGCCCATGCCTGTAGTGGCAGAGATGTTGCAAGGGCAGGTTTGCATCACGGCTTGTGAACTGGCACTGGTGGGTTTTTCCCCCCAAAATGCTCAGCATGCTGCTGGGTTTGGTCTTCCTCCTGCTGGAGGGGCTCCGGGAGAGCCCAGCTCTGTGTCACCTGCGGGAAGCCTGTCCCTGTCCCATCACCGAGGCAGCACCATCTGGCAGGGAAAGGAGCTTTGCTCCTTGCTGCCAGGAAATCCCTAACGCTGCTTTGCAAGAGGGCTACTGCCTGCCCTGCTGCCCACATCAGCCTCTCCCCATTGGGCTCCCTCCCCGGGGACCAGGGAGGGCAGTGTGGTGTGTGCCGGGTGACAGGAGCCGCCGACGGCGCGTGCAGCCCTGTGTGTGCGGCTGGTGCTGTATAAATAGAAACTTAATGGCTGGGTGACCCACATCTCCTGCGCGAGCCGCCCGCTCTGCTGGCCCCACCGCAGGCTAACCACTGCCCCGGCTGGCTGGCATCCCAGTGGAGGCCCCCCAAATGCTGTGGGGCTGGACCCCCCCCATGGTGGCAGGGGGGTGCAGCAGCATGGCGTTGGTTGAGCTTATAACTGGGCTTGTTCAATGTAGTTTTAAGCCTGACTTCAGGAGACAAGGGTGCCTGTGCCTGCGGAGCAGGTTGTCGGCACTGGGAAGAGCCATGAGGAGCATGGCAGGGCCCCCTCCCCACAGGGTAGTGCCCAGGATGGAGCGAGGGTGGCCACGGTGAGGCCATGGCAGTGGCCGTGGGGCTCCATGTGCTCCCCGAGCAGGCGCCGGCACTGCGGGGTGGATTCTGCACCGAGCTGAAGCTCTGGCTTTCGGCAGCTCTTCCCCGCAGCCCGGCAGGTGTCACTGGGCAGTGCCGGCCATGCCGCCAGGATAACTCCTGGCCAGATAACCCCACGGGCCTGGGGGGCACGGCTGCCACCCCGGCTGCACCACGTTCAGCGCCAGCGTGTGGGGGCCAGCGAGGTGCTTGTGCCTGCCAAGAGCACGGTGTGTGTCTGGGAAGGGAGAAGAGGAGACACTGGTGCCCTTGGGGCTGCGGGGGAGAGGCTGCAGCGTACGGCTCACGCCGGGGCCTGGCACGGTTACGTGGCGTCAGCCGGAGGAAACTGGCTGGAGGGACAGCAGCGACTGTGTCTGTGGTGTCTTTGGGTGCCACCACAGCACCAGCACCTCCCAGTGCAGGGTGCTGTTCTCTTTCCACGTGGTGCAGGGGTGCGCTGGGGGGACCCGCCGTGGCTTTGCCCGTGCTGGGGAGCTGAGGATGTGGTCAGGGGTCCCTCACCTGGCGGGGCCACGCAAGGTGCTGGCGCACAGGGAGGCCCGGCTCTCCCCCAGGCCCCACTAAGCTCCCTGGAATGTTTCTGGTCCTAATTTAAATAAAAATGATCCTTTTTGAAACAGGAAATTATAGACATATTTTGGGCTGTTGCTCTGGAAGCCCCTCCCTGGCTGGAGCGGGATGGTGCTGGGCTCCCTGTGTACCGCAGGGGATTTAACCCCCTCGGCGGGGACCGTGCTGAGCCACCCTTGTCCCTGGGACCCATGCTGCCGCCGGGCAGGGGCAGCACCCACTGTGTCTGGGGGGGCTCTCAGTGCTGTGGGGCATGCGGGGGGCTGGCTGGTGACACAGCGTGGCTGGGTGTTGGGGACCGGGTGAAAGCCCTCCCTGTGTCCCAACCTTGCTCCCAGCACAGGGCAGCCCGGCTGGCTCAGCTCCACGCTTCTATTTATTTATTTACCGGTGAAATTCCTCTGGCAGGGCCCAGGCATGCGCCGGCCGGGCAGAAATATTCCAGAAACGCCTCTGACTGCTCCGGCGCTTTGGTGGGACCACAGGCATTCAGCGGCCATGCTGGCAGACCTTTGTGCCATGCTTGCCCGCTGGCCACGGGAGCCCTGGTTCCCGGAGGTCACTGTCCCCAGGGTGCAAGGCCACCATGCCACAGCGTGACTGGGAGCTGGGTCTTTGCGGGGGGACGTGGGGTGGGGGCTGCGGGACTCCCATCGTGCCGGAGGAGCTTTCACCTTTTGGGGAAGCTCTTGGATTCGTTCTCCCTCTGCCCTCACTGTAGGGATGGTGCTGCTGGGGCGTCCTCAGCATGAGGGGCCCTGAGTGGCCCTGAGGAGGGGGCTTGTCCGTGAGATTGGTGCATCTCGGCCGAAATTCCCGGTGGAGGAACCAGAGGAATCTGCTGGTGGGACAGAAGCACTGCTGTGCTGCATGGCTGGGCTGGGGGGTCCCGGTGGAGGTGGCCTGGGGGAGCTGGGCTCCTCCCCGGCGGGTGGCTCTGTGCCCTGCCTTGGGGATGCTTGGGACCCCCCGGGAGGGCAGGACCATTTTGCATTGCCCGGGTCTGCGTGGGTTTGGCTCACCAGGGACGGAGGGGGCTGCGGCAGCTCGGCGTGCTGGGGCTGGGGCACCAAAGCCTCCTGTTCCTGCTCTTGGGGGACCTGGCTGCGACTTTTTGCTCATGACCCAGTGGCTGCCACCAGCTCTACCGGGGGACAGTGCAGACACCCTCCACAGTGTCGTGCCAGCCCTGCCAAGGGTGTTTGCCGTGGCCTCTCCCTGGTGTGTGCCCGGTGCGGAGAGGGGCCGGGGCTGCAAAACCTGGTGTTAACGTGAGCCTGGAAGGACGTGGCCCAGTGCCGGCATCCCTGGCACAGGGATTTCCAGCTCGCCGTTGGCACAGACCTCCCGCTCAGGCCGGGACCCCTTCTCCCTCCGGCTGTTTTTGGTGTGGGGTGTATCTGTGTCCCTAGGGTCGGGCAGGGAGCTGCTCAGGCGCCGGCGGGGGTCCCCGCCATGCCCGTGCCCAGGCGGTCACCACCTCTCCTCCATGCCGCCGGCGTGCCTGGCTCCCTGCCGCCGGCCTCCTCCCGGCAGGCCCTGCGCGAGGAGGCCCCCGGCCCCTCGCCCGCCATCCCACTCCCACTGTTTCCAGGGAGATCTTGGACGTCCAGAGGCAGCTTTGCCATGAAAGCGGCTTTGCCGTGGGCTGCCGCGCCGCGCTGGGGGGCTGCTGGGCTGGCACGTGTCTGTGGTGCCGGCCCTCGCCTTGGGGAGGGTGCTCTCCGCCCCCAGGAGCGTTTTGGGGGGCTGTTGTGTTTGTGGGAAAGCAAAGGGAGGAGCAAGCAGCGTCAGGGCTGCTCTGCCCAGCACGATGCCGGACACCCTGCTACGACACTGGGCACCAGCTACACCAACAGACACCCCGCCGCGGGGTACAGGAGGGTGACACCCCGTCCCTCTCAGCACAGGACCCTCCCTGGCTCCCCCCAGCCCCACAGCTGCGCTCGGCCTGGGGGTGTCTTTCCCCGCTCCCCCCGGGGCGGGCAGTGGGACGGAGGCCGAGCAGTTCCCCCTGCGGCGCTGGGCTGCCGTGAGCCCACATCACTTCCTCCGGCGGCGGCGGTGGCGGCCGTGGTGGTGGTGGTGACGGCGAGGCCCTGCTGCCCGCGTGTCCCCCCCGGCGCTCCCTCCGGCTGCTGCGCGCGCCGGCGGGGCCCTCACATTCCTCGGCTATTTTTAGGGTGGCCCTATCAGCCCAGCTGTCCCCGCGCCGACGGCTGCCGCCCCGTTAGTGCCTCTCCCACCGCGCTGCGCCACGCTCGCCCCAGCGGAAACCCCGCTCCCGGCTCGCCCCGACCCTGCGGTAAGGTGGGGACCCCCTGAGTGACCAGCACAGCATGGGGGAGCACGAGGGGGGCATGTGGGAGCCAGTCCCGGCACCGGAGTTGGGGGATGTGAGGCTGCACCCACCCCTGGGGTGCTTTGGCAGCCGGGGGCTGTTTCTTGCAGCCCCCCGGGGACCCCGATATCGGTGCTCTCCAGGGATCTTTGGGGTGGGGTCAGGCTGCGTGGAGGTGAGAGCGCCATGGGCACAGGATTTGGGGGCTCTGACCCGTGGGCAGGTTCATCTCTGGACCCCCACGCCCAGCCTGTGCTCCGGGCACCGACGTTTCATGCTGTGGTGACAGGGGGGTGCAGGGGACCCCTCGGGGATGGGATGATGTACCCCGAGACAGGCAGGTTGGTTCGGTGCTTGGCTGCTCCTCTGTGCCGTGCCTGGCCCTGGGAGGGGGATTTCTCCCCGATGGCCCCAGGTGAGACCCCCCTGTGTTTCAGAGGGTGGCACTAGCCACGGCGGAGGGTCCCCACCAGGGCTGCCCAGCCGCTGGCACAGGGTCAGGCTCAGAATAAACCCCGGCTGTCAGGGCAAGCATGGTGCCCGGGGCAGAAAATATCCTTTCCCTCACCCTGGCATTTGCTTACCACAGCATGCTGGCCTGCCCAAGGCAGGGAAACTGGAGCACGGGCCTGCAGACTGACTAAAGGGGCTTTTTTTGCACAATGAGTTTTGTTGGGTCTCGGCCTGGCCACCTGCCTGTCACCAGAGCCCTTCCTGTAGGCGCTGCCTGTTTGTGTGCTGAGCGCAGCCAGGAGGGCTCAGACCCCCGTTCCTGAGGGTCCCGGGATCCCAGGGCCGGTGGGGAAGGGCACGTGCTTGTACCCTGTGCCACGGTTCAGTGTCCCGCGTCCAGCCCCGGCCCATCTCACCTCTCCCTCTCTCCCCAGCCAGGGCTGCGGCTCCATGAGACATCGCCATGGCGTTTTCATCCCGGTTTGCATTCTGGGAGCAAAAGGGAAGTCTCTCGCGCGTTTGCCCACACCCCACATTCGGGTCCCGCTGCCGCACGCTGCCAACCAGCTCCCCCAGTTTGCCCAGTGCCGGCACCGCATTCGGAGCGATGCTCCCAGCCTCGCGCTGTGCTGCAACGCCGGGGGCTACGCTGAGCAAACGGGGAGCTGCCCCGCACCCCCCCGCAGCACGGCTGCGCTCCCCGACGCGGCCACGCATGCGACTGCTAACACCATCACTAACAACCGCTTCGCCCCTAACGCGACGTGAGCCACCGCGGTGCCGCCGGCCAGCCCCGAGCACTTGCAGGAGCTGTGCGATGGCGACTCGGGGCGCGCTGCCCGCGGGGTGCACCACACGCTGCCCCCACGGTGCCACAGCCCAGGGTAGGGGTGGGTTTGGCTGCCCACCCCCAGAGACCCTTGGTCACCCTGCTCGGCAGGGAGCTGGCACGTCCCGCGGAGTGGCTGCCACAGAGATTAGCTGGTGACACTTAAAACGTGCTGTGACACCCGCTGGGGTGACGTGCAGAAAGGCAGAGCCCCTGTGGGGAGCAGCCACGGGGCTTTATATACCAGCTCAGTCACCAGCTGCACACAAGGGGGGGCCAGGGCCAGGCGGGCAGAGCCTTTCCTCTCCCACCTTTGGGGTTTGCCGTAACCAGGCTTGCATCTCTACGCTTCCCCCCACTTTTTTGGCTGACGGGAAGCCTGGAAGGACACATGTCCTCGTCCTTGGGGCTGCAATGGGATGCAGATTGGGGCTGTTTCATGCAGCAGCCTCCTACCCCCCTGGCATGGAGTGATGATTCTGATGGCTTTTCTGGCAGCAAGGCCCCGCAGCGGGCTGAAACACACTCCTCTTGTTTGTCTGACCCTCAGGTCAAGGACGAGGACAAATCCTTAGCTGTGAAAAGACCCGGGAAGGAGGATGGGGCTGTAAGTGTCAAAGGGCACGGGTAGGGTGGAGCTTTGTTGGGGATGGGGCTCGCCTTTGGTGGGGACAGACCCCATGCCAGGGCTTGGGGACATCACAGAGGGTCGTGAGCTCAGCATTCACCCCCCTGTACCCACCCTGGTTCCTGGGGAGCGCTGGCAGCCACTCCAGGGCAGCGTGTGGAGTGTGGTGGGTGTTTTTCAGGGATGCCCAGCTGTTGGCACACAGTGATCTCTCCCCCTCCACCTCCCCGGGGCTTGTCCCTGCCCTGCACATGCCAGCGGGACAGTGGGTCATCGCCCACCCAGCATGGTGCCGTGCTGGCCGCCAAAGCTGTTGGTGGAGGAGATCTTGCAGCTTGCCCTGTGTGTCGCAGAGAGGTTGTCAGTGCCCTGAGCACTGAGTTTTACCCCTGTAATGGCAGCCTGAGGGTCGACGGGTCCCCGCATGCGGGGATGGGAGGTCACCATTGCTCCCTGCCCTGGGGTCTGGGAGGGGACTGTAGGTTGGCTGGGGAAAGGGACTGGGTGCTGCGTCCCTCGGTGCCGGGGTGTGGCTGGGAGCTGTGCTCCTGTGGCAGGGCACGAAGCTCTGGGCACCACCACGTCCCGAGCACTGGGTGCTCGTTGTGGCAGACACAGCACTGCCAGACCTCCACTCATACTGGTGTCATTGTGGCTGCAGTCAGAGAGCCCAAAGGATGCGGCGTCTGCATCCCCGAATCCTGAGCCCCCGAATCCTGAGTCCCAGAAGAGCCCTGAGCCACCCCCCGGGCGAGGGAAGAGCCCGGAGCCGGTCCTGAACGGGGAAGCCGTGAACGGGCTGGAGGGTCCGGCTGCCGAGGCGCAGGGGGACGACGGCCAGGGGCTGTCCCGCCGCAGGGTGGTCCGGGTGGTGCGCAAGGTGGTCCGCAAAGTCCTGCCGGGGGAGGACACCGGCAGTGCCAAGGAGCCGGGGCGAGATTCCAAGTCTCCCGAGCCGGTGCCACCTCCCAGGAAGGAGGAGACGGGTCGTCACGCCATCCCAGCTCCCCCCGCCGTGCCACCTCCCTCCACCATGCCGGCAGCCCCCTCCAAGGCAGAGCCCAAGGATGAGATCTCAGCGGGGCTCAAAACCCTCATGGCAAAGGGCAAAACCAAAGAGCACCGGGCACGGCTCCGGCCGGGGGACAGGCGGGAGGAGAAGGGCGCCGAAGCCAAGCCGGAGCCTCTGGTGCAGCCTTCAGGAGGGAAAGCGGAGCTGGCAAAGGCACCTGCTCCAAAACCCACCGCCCTGGAAAGGCACAAGGTACCGGTGTGCACACGGCGGGGGATGCTCTAACACGGCGGCAGGGCTGTGGCATGGTGTGAGCTCACCCGCATGGTTTGCAGTGGTTTTGGGGTGTGCAGTGCCGGGCGGGGGGGCACTTTTTGGGGCAGTTGTGTGCACTGTGGCCACCCAATCACACTGCCCCTTGTCTCCTTCCCCGGCTCGTGCGGAGAAGAAGCTGCAGCTTGGCGAGAAGCGGTCGACCCCCGCGAAAACCACCCCGGCACCCCCCCAGCAGGTGTGTGGAAGCGGGGACCCTGGTCCTCGGGCATTGTGAGGTATCTGCTGGTACCCCAGCTGTGCCGGCCTTGGCACCTGCGGGTCTGCACCAATCTTCGGCCCGGTACCCACCCCGATCACCGGTGGGCTGCAGGGCTGGGGAAACCTCTGCAATAGCCCCTCTTGCGCCTGCGTGTCACGAGCGCGGGGCTGGCGGGGGCCGTGGTGCCGGCAGGGGCCAAGGGGCAACCGGCCTGGTGCTAACGGTGCTCTGCCTCCAGGCTGCCCCTGGCCCCGCTTCCCGGCTGAGCCCGTCGGAGGAGGCACAGCGCCGGCTGGAGAGGATCTTCACTGCTTCTGTAATTCCAGGGGTGTTGGCGCTCGCATGCTGCCCGCCCGGGGATGGGGTCGCGTGGGCAGTGTGTGGCTGCCCCGCCGCGCCGTGTGCTCTGTGCGGGGTGATTGTACCCCTGTGCCTGGCCACCAGCCCCGTGGTCCCTCTCTGGGTGGCACCAGCAGCAGGGGATGGATGACTGGGGATGCCGGGGGATGCTGTTGGGTTTGGGGTTGCTGCCCGGACCGGCGTGCCC